GGCACAGAAGAAGCTAGCTTCTATTGAGACTGAGCACCACATCATCCTTGCTGCTCACTGGGCTTCAGGGTGGTCCTGAGGCTGATGACTGCGTTTATTTCTGATTCCTGAGTCACAGTATCCACCCTGGTAGGGCCTGGCTCCTGATAGGCTCTGACCTAGCACCCCCAAGTCCTCTGAAGTAAGCCCCTGTCTTCCTCAGGCTCACTCGCCATCCAAGACCAAGCCTCCTGTGCCTGGGGAAGGACCTCCACAAGACCACCATCCTCACTCCTGCCTGCCTACACAGAGAGCATCCCAGCTTTTATGGGTTGAATTGTATCCTGCCAAATTCCTATGTTGAAGTCCCAACCCTCAAATGTGACTATATGTGGAGACAAAGCCTTTATGGAGACACTTAAAGTTAAATGAAGTCATAAGGATGGGACCCTAGCCCAGTCGGACTGGTGTCTCTCTCTTTTTTTTTTTCATTATTTATTTATATATTTATTTTTCCATTTATTTTTATTAGGACTGGTGTCTTAAAAAGAGGAAGAGACACCAGACATGCACACACAGGAAAAGCCCGTGTGAAGACAGTGATAAGGTGGCTGTGTGCAAGCCGAGGAGAGAGGCTTTAGGAGAAACCAAACCTGCCAACACCTTGCTTTGAAATTCTAGCCTCCAGGAGTGGGAGAAATAAATTCCTGTTGTTCAAGCCCCTTAATCTGTGGTACTGTGTTATGGCAGCCTAAGCTAAGACATTCACCATCTCAGCCCACCTGTCAGGACTGGTCTCACTGACCTAGTACAGTCATTTGGGACATACTTTGTGTGATTCAAAGAAGACCAAAGATATCACCCTTACAGAAGTTCCAGCTACTGACCAACCAGAATTGTTCTCTCTGGGGAATAGGTGCTAAATTCTTAAGTCCAGCTTTGTGCATCCCCCCAGGACAGCTCCTGGCATCTTTCTAATGTTATTTATCCCAATGCAATTTTCTAACTTTACTTAGAAGCAGAACCCTTTTTTAATAGTTGAACTATTCAGATCCCTCAAACTCAGTGTAACTAAATAGATGACAGATCTGGGGTAAAGTGCTCCAAGACCCTCCTTTCTATCCCCATGAAATTCTACAAAAACTACCCAAAACTTGGAGAAGCACTGCTTGCTAAAGGAATATAAACACATTTTAAAATTGTTCTAAACAGAGGATAAATAGAAAGGTAAGTCCGACAGGCCACTTTTCCCTCATCTCCAAATCTCATGTGTCAAAAACAACTTTATATTTTAAAAATTACCTGGTGTATACAAATAAACAAGGTTGTCTATATCTTACATCTAAATTGGCTAAGAAATCACAATTATAAGCTTCCAAAATAATAATGCTATACGCTTCTGCCTAAATATTTATGTGCAGTCAACTGAATGTGAAAAGAGACAGAAATATCCTGAATGAAGAAGGGAATAGAGAGAAAGAGAGAAACTCATAAGCAACTTGGACCTTGATCCAAGGGCCACTATCACCACTTCTCCTGCCTCTGTCCAAAGGTTAAGGAAAGAGAGAAAGGATTTAGAGCATGGCCCCTCCATCTGGACCACGTGCACCAATGGTTCTGGTCCTGGCTGTGCATTAGTATGACTTTGGTAATGAATTAACAGGTCCAGGTACAATCACCAACGGCTGCTATTGTCACAAAAAGAGAGAACCATACACTATGCACCCCCTGTACACAGCATCACCTTTGCAGTACACTTGGCAAAAATTTACTGAGTCAGATCAAGCCTCTAGACTACCACAACTTTACAACAAATATAGGAGACAGAAGCATATGATAAAGCACACAACAGTAAAGCAAGCAGAAAAATTCTGAACGTGGGAATGGGAACTCTACAGGCAAATGCTCTGGTTTTTACACAAATAACATTCAAGGGGGCAAAAAGAAGCAGGATGAATGTATATAGCTCTATCAACCAATGGCAATGTGTTGTGTGACTTTTATTTGGGTCTTGAATAGGACAAACCAAATGTAAACCAATATCTGTGAGAGAATCAAGGGAATTTGAACACAGACTGAATATCTGATGCTCTTCATTATTTACTGTCAATTTAGGGGGTGAAATAATGGTACTGGAGCTGTTTCTATTAGTTATAGTTATTTTAAAAAACAGAGCTCTTATTTTTTTGTGACATATGCTGAAATATCATAGATGGAATGATACGATGTCTAGGATCTGCTTTAAAACAATCTAGAGGGAAGTGATGGAGTAGATACGGCTATGCAAGTTGTACAAGCAGACTGGTGAGGAGTTCAAAAACGTTGAAGTTGAGTGATGGGCACCTGACAGCCCACGATTTTCTTTGAACCATGCATGTTAGAAATCTTCCAGAATACAAAGTTATATAGGAGACAGAAGCATATGATAAAGCACACAACAGTAAAGCAAGCAGAAAAATTCTGAACGTGGGAATGGGAACTCTACAGGCAAATGCTCTGGTTTTTACACAAATAACATTCAAGGGGGCAAAAAGAAGCAGGATGAATGTATATAGCTCTATCAACCAATGGCAATGTGTTGTGTGACTTTTATTTGGGTCTTGAATAGGACAAACCAAATGTAAACCAATATCTGTGAGAGAATCAAGGGAATTTGAACACAGACTGAATATCTGATGCTCTTCATTATTTACTGTCAATTTAGGGGGTGAAATAATGGTACTGGAGCTGTTTCTATTAGTTATAGTTATTTTAAAAAACAGAGCTCTTATTTTTTTGTGACATATGCTGAAATATCATAGATGGAATGATACGATGTCTAGGATCTGCTTTAAAACAATCTAGAGGGAAGTGATGGAGTAGATACGGCTATGCAAGTTGTACAAGCAGACTGGTGATGAGTTCAAAAACGTTGAAGTTGAGTGATGGGCACCTGACAGCCCACGATTTTCTTTGAACCATGCATGTTAGAAATCTTCCAGAATACAAAGTTAGACAGGACAAAAACACAAATCAGCCAGAGAGTACTTAGGCCTCACTGAGATTACAATATGTTGGTCCGGGCGAGGCCTGTAGAGCCGTAGTATTCAAATCCCCCCAGCTGGTCCCAGCGTGCAACCAGGATTAAGAACCGCTGACATAGCATCAGATAGCCCAGTACAACCAGTCTCTCAACTCGATCCTCAGCTCCAGTGACTAATTAAAAAACCAGCAAGAGAGGCTTATATTACTTCAATAATCACAACTGCTGTGTCAGTTTGATCAAATTACCTGAGGATTTAGGTCAACGGTTCTCCATCAGGGAAGCATGTTCCTCTCTGTCCTACACCTCCATCAGCTTAAGGGGGCAAATATAGGCAGACATTGGTCTTAACAATATGTTTTTGGACCTGTCTCCTCAGTCAGGACCAACAAAAACAAAAATGAAAAAATGGGACTTGATCAAACTAAAAACCTTTTGCATAGCAAAGGAAACCATCAATAAAATAAAAAGGCAATCTACTGAATGAAAGAAGATATTTGCAAAAAATATGTCTGATGAGGGATTAATAACCAAAACAAATAAGGAACTCACACAACTCAACATCAAAAAAACAGTACAATTAAAAAATAGACACAGGGCCTGAAAAGGCATCTTTTCAAAGGCATACAGATGGCCAACAAGCACATGAAAAGATGGTCCACATCACTAATCATCAGAGAAATGCACATCAAAACCACGAGCTCTCACCTCATGCCTGTCAGAATGGCTATCATCAAAAAGACAGAAAATGATAACCATGGCAAGGATATGGGAAAAAGAGAACCCTAGCACATTGTTGGTGGGAATGTAAATTCATGCAGCCACTATGGAAAACATTATGGAGGTTCCTCAAAAAATTAAAAATATAACTATCATGTGTGTGCTAAGTCACTCCAGACTATGGACTGTAGCCCACTAGGCTCCTCTGTCCATGGGATTCTCCAGGCAAGAATACTGGAGTGGGTTGCCATGCCCTCCTCCAAGGGATCTTCCTGACCCAGGGATCGAACTCATGTCTCTTATATCTCCTGCATTGGCAGGTGGATTCTTTACCACTAGCGCCACCAGGGAAGCCCCCCAAAACTACCATACAGTCCAGCAATTCCACTTCTGGGCATTTATCCAAAGAAAACGAAAACACTAATTCAAAAAGATAAGCACCTCAATGTTCATAACAGCATTATTTACGATAGTCATGATATGAAAGTAAGCTAAATGCCCATCAACGGATGAATGGATAAAGAGGATACAGTACATATAATAAACACAATGAAACATGATTTAGCCATAAGAGTGAAATCTTGCCATATGCAGCAAAACAAATGGACCTGGAAGGTATTTTGCTTAGTGAAATAAATCAGACAAATACCATATATTTTCACTTGTATACAGGATCTAAAAAACAGAACAAATAGAGATACAGAGAACAAACTAGAGGCTACCAGAGGGGAGGGGGTGGAGAGAGGGGCAAAGTAGGTGACTAGGATTAGGAGGTACAAACTACCGGTTATATAACAAGTAAGTCACGGGGATACAGTGTACAGCACAGGAATATAGTCAGTATTTATAATAACTTCATATAGCATGTAATCTATAAAAATACTGAATCACTATGTTGTACACCTGACACTAATAAATATTGCAAGTCAACTACACTTGAGTAAATTTAAAAGAAAAAATTTTTTCAAGAATCATCTGGGAAGTATTTTTAAAACTAGACAGAACCCTTGGGGTTCTGCCCCTGGCTCCCCTGAACGGCCTGACCAGACCACTGGGCGGGCCTCTCGCGGACAATGGCGCCTCCCGTCAGGCGTCGGCGGAAGCTGGCGTCAGCGGAAGCCGGCGCCGGAAGCCCGTACCTGTGTCTGTTCCTCTTGCCCAGGTCTTCCTCCTCAGGAGCAGGGTCGATATCGGGCAGAGGGATGATGTAGCCGCTGTCTGCACTCAGCCTCTGCTCGTCGAGGCCACCCTCCCAGTCCTTCAGCTTATCGTCCTCATTTTTGTAGGTGACGCCGATGTAGGCGTTGTCGGAGTCCACGCGCATGCGTGCCACAGCGGGATGGTCACTCTTCAGAAAGTCCAGGTGGATCTTTTCATAACTCTGCAAACATTGATTTCACACAGTTACTCAAGGGTTATTGACAGAACTGCAAAAAAGAATGCAGATGCTCAGAACTTACTATTGTTTAACTGTCTGCGTTTCCAAACTACCTCGCAGATGTGGGGTTTGGACCCCTGAAGGAGAATCAGATGTCAACTGTCCCCAGAGATGTGGAACAAGAAGAAAGGACCACCATTGGCAGAGATCTCCTGCTGGTAGGTCTTGAGATACCAAGAACCCATTCTGCAAGTCAGTAGCTATACTGTGTCCCTATACACTCCCTTCTTTGGAATTAGCATCGACCCTCTGGTCCCCATCAGATAGTCTCTCTGGGGCTTTGATGGGTTCCCATAAGAGGTGACTAGGGCTTCCCCTGGGAGCACCATGCCTGAAACTTTCTTGATTCCTATACATCGGAGAAATCTAATTAAAAACTTAGGGACCATTGATCTAAAAAGGCTCCGTAAACAAGAGCTCCAGTCTGTTCCCATCAATACATCTTCATCAACCAGAGTGTCTTTGACTTTCCTATGGTTAATCTCCTTCCCTCCTTCTGCCGTCCAGCTGCCTCACTTTTGGCATTTGTAATAGGCAGTGAAATAATCAATAAACAAAAGTATTTAACTTCCAGTTCAGCTAACACTGCTCTTCCTTGAGAAGAAGGAAGAGAAGCAGTAAGTATGGAAAGTCTACATGGCAACTAATCTGAATCTAAGAAATTGTGCCTAAGTTTCCTTCTCAGCATCTCAGCAGAAAGTTGCTTCATTCATTACCATATCCTGCTTGGTTCCATGAAATTACATTTGTTCCTTTGAACAATGCTTCCTATTCCACAAAAAAACCAGCTGGAACCACAGATAACAGCTGAGGTTGTTCCTTCCAGTCAGCTGGCAAAAGCCAATTTTGCATGGATTTCAGTGCATTCAAATTAGCGATTTAATGGCTGTGGATGCCCTGAGACTTCTAACTTCACAGTAGCTTCAGATACTCAAACATCTGGAGAGTAAAGTGCTTACAGGTGTTGCACCCTTAGGATGAATGGGAGCCGTGCAGGAAGGGGAGGGTTTTCATTCATCACTGCTACCAAGGGCCTGGGGAGCACTGCATGAAGCCCCAGCCACTGGATCACACAATCTTTTGCCTCCTTTGAAAATGTTCCATTAAAATAGTGTTGAACAATACTGCTCACTCACATAACCAGCTGTTGTCTCCTGCCCTTGACCATCCCTTGCCACCCACCCATCTTAAGAGGCCCAGTCAAACCTTTTTATATTGTCCAGGCAGCAGATTCTCCACAATCTCACTCAGGTGGTAAAAGGAGGGTCTCTTCTCCGGCTCACTGTTCCAGCACTTCACCATGATCTCGTACCTGGAGAAGCACAAGACTCAAGAGTGGGCACGGAGAAGATGATCAGGGCATCCCCACCCCACAGACCCATCAGGCATGAACACAGGCCCACAGGATGGGGAGAGGCTCACACTTCACTGGTGGCATGGTCAGGCTTGGCCATCCGGTATCCACTCTTGATCTTATTGTAGAATGTAGAATCCACCATCATGCCAGGGTAGGGTGTACCACCTGAGAGGCCAAGAAGAAAACAACCAGGGTTGACAAGTGTGTGGTACACTGTTGAAACACCTGGGGTGATACAGCACCTTTAGAAAATGTTTGGGGATCCCCACTTTGAAGTATCGGTTCTTTCAAGGAAATTAAGTGTTACCATCTGCTTGATTTCACAGCCCTGCCCAAATCTTAAATTTAACCAGAAGGGAAAGTCCAAACAAACACAGAGGGACACACCAAAGCTTGCTTGCATCACACCACTTAGTAGTCCACCCTCCAAAACAAACCACAAGCTTGAGCTACTTTAAGGAAATGTTGTAAGCAATTCAGGTCTATCGAGTGGAGCCAAAATGAACTGCTATTACTCAAAGTAATTCTATGCAAAATGTTTTTTAAAGTTAGCAGGAACAGGAAGAGAATGCCTACTTTCTTCTTTGCTGTGATTAGAGACATGCATTCATGTATTCATGGATTCATTTAACAACTCTTAAGTTATTGCTTATGTATTTCCTTCGTAATCCTATTTCTAAATAAAATGTAACCTATAAATCATTAAAAAAAATTTAACTGAGACTTCTAGGTTGATCAAGTCCAGAAACCCTAGCAAAAATTCTACACATCTAGAAAAAGCACAGAAGTGTTCTTCAATGGTTCTGAGTAATGGATCTATGAATACAAAGAAAAATAGAAAATCCAGAGAAATTCTGAATCACTAAGGCCAAAAAAGTTATTTTCATCAGAAACGTTCAAATAATTAAGGCAGAAATCTTGGAATGTCTAGCTAATTCTCTGCTTTTAACAGAATACAAGACTCTCAGTTAAGCTACACACTGGGGTGATCCACAGTGTGGCTCCACATCCATGGAGGGATGAACCAAAAGAGAAAAAGGCAACAAGCAGGAAAAGTCCTTTACTATCACATCAGGACAATCGTGGGTTCATGAAACATTTCACACTTTACCAGGTCAAGCTTAATCTCCTTCTAAAACCACTCGAGGATTCCTTTCTTTGTTCCCTAGGCTTCTATTTCAACTTGAAATCAGGACCACACAGATTATGACTAAATGTGTAAGTGTTATCTCCCCAGCTGACCTGTCCACGGTCAGGGTCATCAGCCATCCCCTTAGAAGGCCCGTAACTGGTCGCACGGGACACCTGTCTTGCTCAGTGCCTGGTGCTGACTGACTGACTGCCTGGAAGGTTTCTCCCCTCCAGGATGACGACCAGGAAGCGAGTCCCCATCCCCTTCCCTCACGGGACTACTTTTCACTGCACATCCATCACCAAGAGGCATGGGAGTCAGGGGAGGGGACTCTCCCCTGGTGAACCCACTTAACCCAAAGTCCAAGGTGAAGCAGCGGCTGGTGAGTGGATGTCATCAGGTGCATCTCCAATAGGAGAAAGTCCCTCTGATGGAGCCCAAAGGAAAGAGGGAGGCAAAGGCCAGGGGCAAGGGCTCGGCCCCCTAAGATCCCTTCCCAGACCGCTTGGACACACACTAGCCATCGTGAGTGCACAAGGTGTTAATCAGCTACATTCCACTTGACTAACACCAGGTATCTTAACATTATTTACATCCCCAAGCTTGAAAAACACAGCGTCTCCCTTCCAGTGTTATTCCAGAACAACCCAAACAAGTGGAGCTTTTAGGCCCATACCAAGGGAAAAGATCTCCCAGAGCAGGATGCCATAGGACCAGACGTCACTCAGTGTGGTGTAGAGGTTGTCAAAGATGCTCTCAGGAGCCATCCACTTCACGGGGAGAAAGGTCTGCGGGGAAGGGGAAGGACATTAAACCCAGCATGTGCAGCAATAACCTATAGCAGCAAAAATAGAAAGGGCTTCTCTTGGAACTAATAATAGCTCCTGTCAGGAACTTGACTCTGCATGAGCGTCTGTACTCCCAGCACTAGAAGAGTACCTGGCACCTCCTGGGTGCTCTATATACATATCTTATGAATGATGAGTGCTCACTCTTGTCTCCTATGCCCTCCCAAGGAGTAACATCCAAAGATTTTTAATCCTGAATTTTTATCCCAAAGGTATGAGCCTTAAATGGACCTGTCCCCTATTTTCAGGTGTTCCTAGGAACAAAATTAAGAACAGACCCAGTGAACTGAGAGCCAATTACATTTTTGAACTGTAAGAAACAATGGGAAGAAGGTTCGAATGTAGAAGAGAATGACTATCTTTAAGGAAATTGTGCCTCTAAGATGTAAAGCTAAAATCAAATGGCTTTAACATTTCCGGGTCACAGACACCATCTGAAAATTTGATACTCTCCACGGGTGCGCTCCTTGGAAATGAATGCACAATTTACATATTAATAGCTAACACTTGGCTGCTTTGTAAGTGCCAGGCACTGTCCTCAGCACTTTACACAAATCCACTGATCTAATGCCCCATGGCAACTCAGAAGACAGGAACTGATAACATTTCCCCGATACAGTCAGGGAAACCATGGTACAGAATGGACTTGCCCCGAGTCCCCACACTAGTAGGTGCTGAGCCGGCGCTCACACCCAGGCAGTCTGTAGAGCTTGTGGTTTGCCTACTGACCCCTGGAGCCCATTCATGAATGTCATGGGCTCCATGTTAAGAGTCCGGGCTGTGAATGGCGAGAAGCAACGTCTGCTTTCAGAGATTCAAGAAAGGGAAGGCAAGCATGCCAGACGAGGCAGGGGCACGTACGCTGCCTTTGGACACGTAGTTCGAATCATGCATGATGTCTCTGGCCAGGCCAAAGTCACAGATCTTCACGATTTTCCCTTGCGCCAGGAGGACGTTGCGAGCCGCCAGGTCCCGGTGGACACACTGCGCAGACAGGGGAGACGGGATGGGGGTCAATCCAGCGGCCACTGATAGCACGCCCACGGCACGGGCACCTCCGCGGTGCCCCAGGAAGACTGTCCTGGCCCACGGAGCACCCCTCGCCCAGGCTTTCAACCCAGCGCCTCCCAGGAGGGAGAAAGCTCTGGAGAAAAGCGGACACCTGATCTTGCTGGAGGGCCCCTCACCTTCCAGGAAGGGCTACTGAGAAGCCACGTGGCAACTGGCCCTCCACAACTCTCCTTCCACGTTCACCTCACTCAGAGCAAGGCCTGGGTCTAAGGAGGTCTCAGTTGTCTGAACACACTTACATTTTTTGAAGCCAAAAACTCCATTCCTCGGGCAACTTGATAGGTAAAGCTCAACAAATCCAACAAAGTCAGGCCTTCTGAGTTATCATCTGAAAGGAGGTTTTTGACTTCTGAGTCTGCAGGAAAAGAATTAAGTGTGTTGGCACTAGTGGACAGCATGAAATGTCAGCCACCTTGACACTCTCAGAAGGCTGGGCCGCTCATCAGGCTGCAGAGGCTTGTCCAGGGAACATACCTATGATCATGTTCTCACAGTGTCAAGACCTCACAGGTGAGTGTAAGCTGCAGAAATATCCTCTTTAAAAAGAAATACGGACTTCCCTGGTGGCTCAGTGGCAAAGAATCAACCTGCCAATGCAGGAGACACAGGTTCCATCTCTGGTCCAGAAAGGTTCCACGAGCCGTGGAACAGCTAAGCCTGTGTGCCACAACTACTGCGTTCTTGCTCTAGAGCCCTAGATCCACAACTACTGAAACCCACGTGCCCCACAGCCCATGCTCCACAACAAGACAGAAGCTACCACAATGAGAAGCCCGAGCACCACGAAGAGGAGCCCCCGCTCGCTGCAACTCGAGAAAGCCAGCACAGCCATAGATAAGTAATTTTGTTAATTTCAAAAATAAATAAAAAGAAATATATCTGTAAATACATACACTTGGTTTAAATATATATCTCCATAATGACTAGTCTAACAGGTTCTCACACATATTTTTGTTGTTTGGCTCCCAAATTTTCCTTTAGCAAATCACCTAAGCCACCTTTAAAACACACACCCACACCCACCCACACCCACCACCACACCCATGCATCTTCTATGATGCATGTACATGAGGCCTCTATGAAAAAGCAGCTTCTAGGAATTGCTGTTTCTTTCTTTTTAAAGCCACCTTCATAGCACTTGGCTCACTTTATGAATGGAATTAGCCACCAATCAGGCAGGAGTAGCAATCTTCAAGCTCAGTGCCAAGGACTTTGCATGTAGTTCCTTTCTCTGTAACTTGCCTACTTTCCCCAGTTGGTCCCGCCTGGAAGGGTCCCAGGGTTTTCGAGGAAGGAGGCAATCTAGGCCAGCAGCTCTCAGCACTTTTTGAAAAAGCTCAGGCAAGTACAGAGTAGCTGCAGCCATTCACATTTTTCCAGCCAGAAAGCAATGGTCTGCCTGCCAACCGGGCCCGGGCTAAGCATGAATCAGGTTCTCCTGACATCTGGAGCCAGGTCCGGCCTGGGAAGCAATGTAAACTATTTTTAACAATACAGGAGGGGAGCGGAAGTGTTGGTTCCGACAAGTCTCGTTGGCCAACCTTTTTAAAGGGCTTGGAAGTTTACCCAGTTGGCACTGAGAGGGGAATGGAACTTGGAGCTGCAGCGGTGGAAAATATTATTATGTACTGCACTTTGCAAAACAAGCACATTCTTTTTTTTTTTTTTCAATGATTGTACCTTTCATTCAAGAACCCTGAAAGCATCCAGAGTACATCAGTGATTTTCAAAACAATTTCCATGGCAGCACAACACCTTTTGGCAGGATCTAGGGGAGGTCTCAGACCCAGTAACATAAAATTACCCAACAAAGCATGGTCAGATCTCTCCTGAAGCCTCCCAGCTCCAAGCCTGTGACTACACTAGAACCCTGCAGGGGCCACCCCCCACCAGATGTAGGCTGGTCCATATGGTATGAGCATCAGCTAGGCTCCCTGGAGTTTATAAATCAATCAACCCTGCCACATGCTCATCTGCTTTGAAAACAAACGGATCTTCCTTCAAACAACATTCAATAGAAACACCCAACACCCTTGTCAGATATAACCTCAAATTGTCCACTTTTCATTTTCTATCACAAATTGGGCATTAGCAAAGCTAACAGCTAGGGCTATCAAACACAGATATAGAGATTTATATAATTGAATTTTTAAAAATAATATTAGGAATCAATAAAAGATTGCCAGATTTTAATGTTACGAAGTAAGGGCACTGAGGAAAAAATAATTACCACCATACCTTCATTTAAAACAAAAAAGGTATGTTAAACCAAAAAATGAATACTATTATGTCAGAATAAATAATTCTTTAAAGTGGTTATGTTTTAAAATGTACAATTCAGGGATGCAATGTACATTATTAATATATTAATACTGCTACATTTTACATATGAAATTTAAGGGGCAAAATCCTAAAAGTTCTCATCACAAGGGAAAAAATTTTCTTTTTCTTTTATTTTGTATCTATGTGAGAAAATGGATGTTCACTAAATTTATTGTGGTAATCATTCACAATGTTTGTAAGTTGAATCATTACACCGTATACCTTAAATGTACACAGCCCTGTATGTCACTCATATCTTAATATCTCAATAAAGTCAGACAAAATAAAATTAATAAAATGACTACACTTAAAATCTGAAAAATTCATTATGTTGGTTCTGTCTTTATTCTCTTTCCTTTTTTCAATTCACAAGCCAGGGCTTCCCTCGTGTTACAATGATTAAGAATCTGCCTGCCAATGCAAAGAACATAGGTCTGGAAAATTGCACACACCGTGCAGCAACTAAGCCCGTGTGCCCCAACTACAGAACCCAGTACATCAAGAGACTACTCTGTAACAGGAGAGGCCGCCACAACGAGAAACATGCCCACCGCAACAGAGGTGCCCTCAGTCGCCATAACTAGAGTAAGCCCACACACAGCAATGAAGACCCAGCACAGCCAAACACAGATAAATAAATAAACAAAAAGAGTGTAACTAGTATGAGTTCTAGTTTAAAAAAAAAAAATTACAGGCCAGACCTGCAAAAACATGTCACAAACCCAGCTGTGCACATCTGCAGTTAGGGACCACGTGGCCTGACAGTCCTGCCTACCAGGCCTGCTCACCACCTTCTGAGTCGTCTACGTATCATATTAAACCACTGGAAGACCTCAGCACCCCAAGCACAAGCAAAGACATCTTTACCTAACATGGATTTCTTCTTATATGAGGCTGGGCGATCATACAGCGCTCTCTGGATGTCTGAGTATTTAGAAACCTCTTTCCTTTCCAGCATGGGGACATACTGCGTGGTGTCAGCTTGCTTCATGTCCATGTAGTCACCATTGTTTTCAAAAGATAAGATAACGTAACTGTAAAAACAGAAAAAGAAACCTTAGCCAGGGTGTCCCTCTGGAGTGATCATCCAGCACTCAGCAGATGAGGACCAGGTACCCACCATGTGTGAGACAGTGGTGGGCACAGGGGCATCAGGGGAAACAAAAGCACAGTCACCCGCATCCTTCACGTGGGTGGTCTAGTCGGGCAGATGAGCATTAATCACGGATCACACAAACACACAGACCACCTCAGCTCAACTCTGTCTTTATTCTGTTTTTCAGTTCACAGGCCACAAAGCTTCACCACATGACCAAGTGGCTTGGACAGACGATTTCTTCTACTCAATAAATTTAACACCAATTTGGTGTCCATCGAGTAATTTAATATGAAGTGAATTCACATACATTCTGATCTTGCAGAACATCATGTCTACAGCGATCTTTTCAGTCACTTTAGAGATCTACAGTGGCAATCATCACTTCATTGGCCTGACTGATATGCCTGGGTTCAGCAAGGACCAGTGTCTCAAACTTGTAAATCCTCAGATAGTTTCTCACAAGATATGAGCACTGAGGCTTCCCTGGCCAGAGATACATCTGGAAGTCTGAAGTGGACCACACATAAACAGCAACTGGCTCCCAGGATGATTTTGACTCTTCCTCTCATTCAAACCTATCAGCAAAGCTTTCCCCAACATGATATCCTGTCTAAAACACCTTACAGACATGGGGTATCTCTCAGCAACATGTCAACGGGTGATGAAGCAGGGTAGTTGACTTTAAGTCTTGCTACCTCCTGGCCCTGAATCTGTAGACATGATCTCCATCAGGACATGGGTTGACTCCACTGGTGAGGCTCATACGACATTTCCTCCCGGGAGGAGGAAATGGCAACCCACTCCAGTATCTTTGCCTGGAAAATCCCATGGACAGAGGAGCCTAGTGGACTACAGTCCATGGGGTCAAGAGTCGGACACGACTGAAGCGACTGAGCGTGCACACATGCATAAGACAGTGATTCACAGCAGCGTCTGTCTCTGCACCTACCTTCTCGTGCTTTCGTCAGCCGGGTTCAATCCAAAAATGTCCAGCTCTTTCTTTGGCTTCTCTGGATGGTGGCTCAGGAAGCTGTCCCTATTCTTATGCAAATAGTTGACCAAATCCCCATAGAAGCAGTACTCAGTGATAATGTAAATGGGGCCTGTGGGGTCCAAAACCAGTTGGGAGATGAGCATGAACATGAAGAACAGAGAAGCCATGAACTTACCGTATCTACAGTGGTAAAAGACATGGCTCAGGAACAGGGAGCTTCCCTCAGCCGAACTCAGTCCACAACCCCATTCAACAGACTGACATTTGCTGGCACGTCTGGAGGTACATCGTGGGGGACTAAAAAGCCTCGACAGTCTTCGCAATGCTAGGTGTGCTAGGAAAACCCTCACTCTCAGGTGAACAAGCCTACCTGACTTGGTGCAGGCGCCCAGCAAGTTCACGATGTTTAAATGCGGCCCCAGGTGGGTCATAATCTTCAGTTCAGACATGAGAGCCTGTTTTTCACTGGATCTGGCTGTGGCTGTTGAAGAAATAAATCATACATCAGTTCAACTGAATTATTTATTTCCCAGAAAAAGCCAAAAGCATGGCTAACCCTACAACTAGGTATCATTTTATTCACCAACAGTCTCAAAGGGAAATGGCTAGTAACTCAGTACCCACTAATTACTTATCCCAAGTCTGCAGAATGAAAAGAAGCTACTAAAAATAACTCTTGATTTTTCCAACATATAAGTGACAAGAATACTCTAAATAAACCTCACTGACAAGAGTCTAAATACGCAAAAAACCTAGAGTTGAAAGAACCAAGATCTAGTCCTAAATTTGACATTTACTGGCTGTGTGATTTTTGAGTTTAATATCTCCATGTTCAAGAAAGCTCCAGAAAAGGGGCACTTACGTTTTAGCATCTTCACTGCTACTTTCATGACAGGTTGAGACCGACTTAATCCATAGGCAGTTCCTTCAACCACTTTCCCAAATGCACCAGACCCCAGGATCCGACCTGCGGGCAACCAGAACCATCAACACACACAGAATCAGGCATCTCCTCCGATTCATTTACCACGGCCAGCAATCATGGGTGCACAGCTGGGTGGTGTTTTTCCCATATGGAGAAAGCATAATAACTCCTCCAAGTCATCATGTCAAAACCAGAATTGAGCCCACAGGGAAGGAAATTAGTGTAATTGCTTTTGTCATATAACATTTGCAAAGAAAAGGAAAAACAGACGGGAAGAAAGGAGCTGCAGCCCTCCCTAGTGTGAGCACTCGCCTACCGGCTGGAGAACTGAGCCAAAGCCTGGGCTCTATGGAAACTGTTCTCTGTGGCTCTGGCCCAAACCTCCTGGCTCTCCACCCTTCTGTTTACCCCACGCAAACAAGGGCACCTTTTGCATCAAAAGCCTTTCTCCACTGGAAGTGAAAGTGAAAGTGAACATGAAGTTGCTCAGTCTTGTCTGACCCTTTGAGGCCCCATGGACTGTAGCCTACCAGGCTCCTCCATCCATGGGATTTTCCAGGCAAGGGTACTGGAGTGGCTTGCCATTTCCTTCTCCAGGGGATCTTCCCGACCCAGGGATTGAACCCTGGTGTCCCCCATTGCAGGCAGACGCTTTACCCTCTGAGCCACCAGGGAAGCTTCTCTGCTGGAAATACTTCCCTATTCAGGACATTACTGATTCCAACAGTGATGAAGCAAACTTCAGGCTGGCCCTCCTGCTGTCTGTCTGTTAGGAAGACCAGGAAGAGAGAAGGCTAAGCATGCCCAGGAGCACAACACTCTGCCACGTGTTGGGAGATACAGAGGGAAATGGAGGCTCTCGTGCCCACAACTTTTTTTTTTACCTTTTTATTTTGTATTGGGGTATAGCCAATTAACAATGTTGTGAAAGTTTCAGGAGAACAGAGAAGGGACTCAGGCATGCCTACGCATGTATCCGTTTTCCCCCAAACTCCCCTCCCGCCCAGGCAGCCACGTGACATTGAGCAGAGTTCCCTGTGCTGTGCAGCAGGTCCTCGCTGGTTATCCATTTTAAAAATCACTGTGCACATGTCCATCCCAAACTCCCTGTCTTCCTTCCCGTGTCGTGCCCACTCTTAAAGTGTCTGCAGTCTAGAACAGACGTTTCCTCAAACCAGGGGACGACGTGGCCCCTAACGGGCACAGAAAGCCTACAGTCCGCTGACTACACGTCTGCCCGGCTGGGACTTGTTCCTGCAAATGCACCACTTCCCCAGCAGCTCGGCAACACACAGCAGCAGAGAGACACAGCAACGCCTCTTAGCGACGAATGTTGCCCCTTTTTCTCCATATTTTATTACTTTTTAACTTCCCTAAGCTCCTCACCTTTTGTAAAACAAGGGAGAAAATATAATAAAGCAAGCTTAGTTCTCAGACATAGGTATTTGAATGAGAAAGGCTAGGGTGTCTTGTCTGATCTCAGTTTAAGTAACTTTCTAGGAAGACCTAATTTGGCTGCTTTCTGGAATGAGACAAGTAGATAATTTAAAAATGCCTTCGGCATCCTCCAAAAGACATACTGTTAGAATATTCATGATGACACAACCTCTAGCTCTCACCTTCATTTGTCTTTGTCCTGTTTTCATTCATTTAGAATGTAATTAAAAAAAAAAAATCTCTTGACTAAAGTTTCCTGTACTTGGTCTCAACCCAAGACTGAAATATTTGAGAAGTTTTTCATGTTTTGCTTTAAAATGCAAAAACTTATATTTTTACATTCTATTTTTAAAGAAGTATCTACGACATCCTCAGAAGGTACTGGGTCAAAACATATTTTTGGACTGTCCTCATTCATTTTTCATCTGTTCCTTTTTCATCACAGAAATTCATCTCGTTTCCAATGGGTATCATTTCCAAAACAAAGCCACTCTGATGGGTGTCTCCCTATAGTCGCTTCTTCCTTTGTAAAATTTTCTTAACCTGTAATTTGCTATGGAAGGAGGTTTAAAAAAAAAAAAACCATCGCAGTTATCCGATTGGCTCATTTTCAAAGGCAGAAAAATATTTCAAAAAAAGCCAATTTCTAACGCCTCACTCTTACTAAGTACAAGTTCAGATCCTTTGTTCCTCCACAGGCCTGTGAAGAGTAACGCTGTGGACAAAGCAAAAGGAGTCCTGGGCGATCACCCAGCAGGGCTGGAGCTTACCAAGCACGAGTCCATCTCTTGGAAACTCCCATCTCGAGTCGTAAGGCAGCTGCATCGGGTCCACATAAATGTACTCATGTCCATCGGGGCTGATTGATTCAATGACCCGCCAACGGATTTCATACCTTGGTTTCTATAAACGACAAGGACAGGTAACTAGTAAATTACCAACGTCCGAAGATACCAAAGCTTAACCACGGCAGCAAAGTGACTGACACGGAAGGATTCAACAACATTCACTCATCATCTAGTTACTGAGCTCCTTCTCTGCGCCAAGCACTGAGCTAGGTTGCTCTTCTTGTTCTTATCAGCAATGATTTTTAGTTCTTTAAAAAACATCTACCTGTTTCCAAATGACGACCAGGACAATGAGTGAGATGATCACAATCACCAGGAGCACCAGGACTGCAGCCGCCACAGTGAGCTCAGAACGCAGAGCTGGAGGACGAGAGAGGGGCACGGGGGAGAATTTGCACAGATTCGCAGGAGGGCAGGAAGGTGGGGGGCCACTTCTGGGCTGGAAATCCCTCTCTACTGGTGGAGAAGCATAAGGGCTGCCTGGCTCATTTGGGGAATGGACAAGATCATCTCTCAATTATCTACACGCATGAAACTACTCCAACTCTTCCCCTGGACGGGCAAGGGACAAAATTCGGTTGGGAACACAATTCTTTTCTCCAAAGGTGCTCCGGAATGTGAACTGGAATATAAAGACTGATAAATGAGGCTGAGCGATGCCATTAGTTCAGAAACTTAAGTGCAGTGTATTTTGAAAGGTTGCTGTATACTTATATTGCTTTGGGCTTCACTAATTTTTTTTCTTTTTTAAGAAGTCAACCTGTCTCAACTGTCACAAGGAGCAACAAGGTAGAAGATCCTCCTTCCCCATCCTCCATCACCACGCCAGACCAAAGAGACTAGGTAGCTACATACTTATAGACAAACAAAATATCAAGGGGCCTCAGAAAGATGTAGTTTGAGATCTGAAACAAAAGGGTCCCACACAGATGCCCAGGGAAAGCCTTTTAAGATCTGGGATTCAAAGTTCCACCGAAGGGAGGAAGGGATCAGCTGAAGACTTAGCTGTCCCGACCCATGAGCTACTCACTGGGAGCCACCAGCTTCAGCTCTCGGCTTTCCAGCCCGAGGAGGTTCTTGGCCAGGCACCGGACTGCAATGGTCTCCTCCACTTTGGCGAACGTCACCTGGCCTTCCACTGTGCTCCTGTCTCGGGGGTGAAACTCTGTGATGATGTTT